TACAGCACTGGGCGGTCCTGTTCTTAATATAATAATACAGCTGAGCCGTTTTTGCTCCTAGACGTTTCCACTTCACAATAACAGCACTTACAGTTGACCGGGGCAGCTCTACCAGGGCAGAAATTTGACGAACTATTGTGTGTAGATTGAGGAGGGAAAGAAAACAATTTAATCCATTTTAGAATAAGGCTGTAACATATCAAAATGTTTAAAAAGTCACGGGGTCTGAATACTTTCTGAATGCACTGTATATATACAGACGTATAGATGTATGTGTGTGTGTATATATACACTGCTCAAAAAAATTAAGGGAACACTTAAACAACACAATGTAACTCCAAGTCAATCACACTTCTGTGAAATCAAACTGTCCACTTAGGAAGCAACACTGATTGACAATACATGTCACATGCTGTTGTGCAAATGGAATAGACAACAGGTGGAAATTATAGGCAATTAGCAAGACACCCCCAATAAAGAAGTGGTTCTGCAGGTGGTGACCACAGACCACTTCTCAGTTCCTATGCTTCCTGGCTGATGTTTTGGTCACTTTTGAATGCTGGCGGTGCTTTCACTCTAGTGGTAGCATGAGACGGAGTCTACAACCCACACAAGTGGCTCAGGTAGTGCAGCTCATCCAGGATGGCACATCAATGCGAGCTGTGGCAAGAAGGTTTGCTGTGTCTGTCAGTGTAGTGTCCAGAGCATGGAGGCGCTACCAGGAGACAGGCCAGTACATCAGGAGACGTGGAGGAGGCCGTAGGAGGGCAACAATCCAGCAGCAGGACTGCTACCTCCGCCTTTCTGCAAGGCGGAGCAGGAGGAGCACTGCCAGAGCCCTGCAAAATGACCTCCAGCAGGCCACAAATGTACATGTTTGCTCAAACGGTCAGAAACAGACTCCATGAGGGTGGTATGAGGGCCCGACGTCCACAGGTGGGGGTTGTGCTTACAGCCCAACACCGTGCAGGACGTTTGGCATTTGCCAGAGAACACCAAGATTGGCAAATTCGCCACTGGCGCCCTGTGCTCTTCACAGATGAAAGCAGGTTCACACTGAGCACATGTGACAGACGTGACAGAGTCTGGAGACGCAGTGGAGAACGTTCTGCTTCCTGCAACATCTTCCAGCATGACCGGTTTGGCGGTGGGTCAGTCATGGTGTGGGGTGGCATTTCTTTGGGGGGCCGCACACCCCTCCATGTGCTCGCCAGAGGTAGCCTGACTGCCATTAGGTACCGAGATGAGATCCTCAGACCCCTTGTGAGACCATTTGCTGGTGCGGTTGGCCCTGGGTTCCTCCTAATGCAAGACAATGCTAGACCTCATGTGGCTGGAGTGTGTCAGCAGTTCCTGCTAGAGGAAGGCATTGATGCTATGGACTGGCCCGCCCGTTCCCCAGACCTGAATCCAATTGAGCACATCTGGGACATCATGTCTCGCTCCATCCACCAACGCCACGTTGCACCACAGACTGTCCAGGAGTTGGCAGATGCTTTAGTCCAGGTCTGGGAGGAGATCCCTCAGGAGACCATCCGCCACCTCATCAGGAGCATGCCCAGGCGTTGTAGGGAGGTCATACAGGCACGTGGAGGCCACACACACTACTGAGCCTCATTTTGACTTGTTTTAAGGACATTACATCAAAGTTGGATCAGCCTGTAGTGTGGTTTTCCACTTTAATTTTGAGGGTGACTCCAAATCCAGACCTCCATGGGTTGATACATTTGATTTCCATTGATAATTTTTGTGTGATTTTGTTGTCAGCACATTCAACTATGTAAAGAAAAAATTATTTAATAAGATTATTTCATTCATTCAGATCTAGGATGTGTTATTTTAGTGTTACCTTTATATTTTTGATCAGTATATATATATATATATATATACATACACATACACACACACACATATATATACACTGTATATATGACTCAGGGCCAGATCCATGGCTCAGATCCTTGTCAGGGGGTCGTGGTTGTGGTGTGCTTTCGTAGAACAGGGGGTTGTGGTTGTGTTGTGCTTCAGACTGACAGTGAAGGGGTTCAATAAGCACAGATGACCATGCTTCAACCATAACTAAGACAGCACAACATATCTAGTAACCTACGGTACTGTACCCCATTCAACAGGGCACATCTAGGTGTGGTAGTCAGTGGTATGGTCGTAGGTCAGCTTTAGCCATCATAGCTGCTCTGTCTACAAAGCTTTGTGGCCGTTGACAAACCACAGGAATGTTGGTTATCCATAATAACACAGTGACTTTCACAACATTACTGGGAGGGAGGACACAGGCTAGTCAATCACCACTGAAGACCATCAGCAAATGAACACACACATGCACCATACGTACAGGTACCTGCTCAAAAACAAACCCCTCCTTTAAAAATGATTGAAACTTGTTTAACATGCGCCAGTTAAAACATCTAAAATGTCAGTAAATCAGAACTAAAACAGATCTGCATGCTTGATATCCTTTAAACAACTTCTATGGAAACACATCTCATAACATTTGTTCTGTAACCCGTGGTTCTGGTTCTGAGGCCGGATGGTTTCTGAACATTAGAACTATTTAGAAAGCGGGGGGGGGGGGGGTCTCGTTTAACTTATTAACAGCTCAGAAGGCTGTGATCAAATGTCTTGAAGGCTCTGCTTAAGGATCACTCATACGATTTACATTTTAAATGCATTTGACCATTTTAAAGTCATTTTTCTGCATAAAATAATGTGTTTAAGAGAAGCCTGTCAAAAGGAACCATGTAGTTAACATCAATGATCCCATTATCTGTGACAGGCAACAACTGACAGACGGGCCAGATATGGACTGAGTCCCAAACGGCACCCTATCCCCTATATAGTGCACTACTTTAGACCAGAAGGGCCCTGTTAGTGCACTATGTAGGGAACAGGGTGCTGTTTGGGACTCATCCATGGGGACAGTCCTCTTCCTTTATTTCACTAGAGGTACTTCAAACCATTACTAAGGGTCTTTAACAGTATCTGCATAGCACTATATGGAGACCCCATCTTCAAACAGTCTGAAAATACCACCGAAAAACATTACAACTAAACACAAGTGTATCAAGCTTGAAAAACACATCCACATTATAACAGTAAATCTCTCTCTCTCTCTCTCCTCGTTCTCTCTCTCCTCTCTCTCTCCGTCCTCCTCTTCTCTCTCCTCCCTTCTCTTCTCTCTCCTCGTCTCCTCTCTCTCTCTCTCGTCTCCTTCTCTCTCTTATCTCTCGTCTCTTTCTCGAGTCTCTCGCTCTCTCCAACCTCTCTCATCCTCTCTTTTACTCGTCTCTCTTCATAACTTCTCTCTCCCACTGTCCTCTCTCTATGCTCAGCTCCTCTCCCAGTACTCTCTCTTCACTCTCTCTCTCCCTCTCACCGCTTCAGTCGCTGCTCTCTCTCTCTTCGTGAAGCATCGTCTCTCGCTGCTCCTCGTCTCAGGACGGCTCTTGCTCTTCCACGTCTGTCACTCTCTCCTCCACACTCATGGTTTCAATACACAAAGAAGGAAGACTTGTGAGCAGTGGGGGTCCAGCAAGGACACCTGAGGCTCCATTCCCTTAAAAAAGGAGGTTTTCCTGCACCCTATTCCCTCAAAGGCACTCTTTGACCGGGGCCCTTGGGTTTTGGTTAAAAAACGCTTCCCCCCCAGGGAAAGGTTGGGTTTCAAATCATGGAAAGGGACTTCCCATCAGGGGTTTTCCCTTAGAATGTGTTTTAGGTTTTCCGGAAAGGGGGGGGATTTTCCCCCCGGGAAATATCCCTTTCTTGGATTTTGGAAGGAATTGTTTTTTTGAATTTGCCCTGGGGGGCTTAATTGGCCCATTGGGTTCCTTAGTGTCCCTTTGGGTGTACTTTGCCCGGGGGCCTTTAGTCCTTTTTGGGCCAGGGGCCCGGGGGCCTCATCCGGGGGCAGCCCTCCCTTTATTTCACTGGGTACCAAACCTTGGCCCGGTTCGTTCGAAGACTTATGGGACCCCTCTTCCATTGTTTTACCAAAAACCTTTCCTTTTCCAAAAGGGTTTTCCGCGTACCTTTGGGGGAAAAACCTGGAGACGGGGCTTCGGGATGCGATCGGAGGGGGTTCTCCGGCGCAAAACAACCAGTAAAGAAGGGGAGGAAAATAACAAGGCCAGGGGAGGGGGGGAAAAGGGGCTCATTCTCGGGGGTCAAAGTAAAACCTCGGGGTTTCGGGGGGGTTTCTCGGGGGGGGAAAAGGCCACCCCCCTCTCTATCTCTCTCCTAACTTTCTCTCTCTCTCTCTCTCTCTAAAAATGTTTAAAAAATACACAAAAAAGAGATAGGAGGCCCTATTTGGGGCCCAGTGGGTGTTTTCCCGTACACTGACAACCAAAATGGACCCATTTTTAAAAACCCTTAAAAACAGGAGGCCTTGAAAAATTTGGCCCCCCACCCTTTTCCCCTACAAAAGAGCACTGTTTGGGCCGGGGCCCTATGGGGGTTTTGGGTTTTTAAAACGACTACCCTATACAGGGAATAGGGTCCTGGGCCTTATCAAATACATGGAAAGTGGACTGGACCACATCATGACTGGTATCCCTGTAGATGTAGTTAGGTCTCTGCTGGGATGGTTAGAGAGGAGGAGGGAGGAGTCTGGGAGAACATGGCTGGCTCTCATTGGCCCATTGTCTTCAGTGTCATCATTTGAAGGCATGGCCTGTCTTCTTCATCAGTTTGCCCCAAAGTGGAGGAGGGAGGGGCTACTTGGATTCACCCAAATAAGCACTGGAAATAGAATGACAAAGACGGGTTAGTGATCCACACAGCTTGAGGGGTAGGTTGGTGGATGTAACAGACGGGTTAGTGATCTTTTCTCTATTCACCTGGAACTACAGAAGGTGTTAAGAGCAACCCTCTTCAATCTCACACTAGGGGTGAGACACAGACAGGAAGAAAACTAACAGGGAACCTAAATGAATAGAGTGGATCCTTACATTGTGTGTTGCCCCCCAGGGTAGGGTGGTTTAGAACTGTCCAGCGCTGCTGGGGTCACACTGTAACAGACGCACGATGGAGGGGTCACTTTTAGCACCCTTAATGAACTCCTCCAGAGACAGTTTACCTGGAGAAACACAACAACAGGAGACAGTCAGGTTATATTAACCCTTAATGAACTGCTCCAGAGACAGTTTACCTGGAGAAACACAACAACAGGAGACAGTCCAGGTTATATTAACCCTTAATGAACTGCTCCAGAGACAGTTTACCTGGAGAAACACAACAACAGGAGACAGTCAGGTTATATTAACCCTTAATGAACTGCTCCAGAGACAGTTTACCTGGAGAAACACAACAACAGGAGACAGTCAGGTTATATTAACCCTTAATGAACTGCTCCAGAGACAGTTTACCTGGAGAAACACAACAACAGGAGACAGTCAGGTTATATTAACCCTTAATGAACTCCTCCAGAGACAGTTTACCTGGAGAAAACACAACAACAGGAGACAGTCAGGTTATATTAACCCTTAATGAACTGCTCCAGAGACAGTTTACCTGGAGAAACACAACAGGAGACAGTCAGGTTATATTAACCCTTAATGAACTGCTCCAGAGACAGTTTACCTGGAGAAACACAACAACAGGAGACAGTCAGGTTATATGAGTGTATATCATTATCAAATAGAGAGTTTGAAGTTTGGACAACAAGCTGTATTGCTAGAAGGAAGATCTGGGATTATTAACAGGTGGTAATGCTAGAAGGAAGATCTGGGATTATTAACAGGTGGTAATGCTAGAAGGAAGATCTGGGAGTATTAACAGGTGGTAATGCTAGAAGGAAGATCTGGGAGTATTAACAGGTGGTAATGCTAGAAGGAAGATGTGGGATTATTAACAGATGGTAATGCTAGAAGGAAGATCTGGGATTATTAAAAGATGGTAATGCTAGAAGGAAGATCTGGGATTATTAAAAGGTGGTAATGCTAGAAGGAAGATCTGGGATTATTAACTTTCCATCAACAGGTGGCAGTACTGAGATTCATTTTTCATCACACACACACTCCCCCCAACACACACTCCCAGACTCCCCCCAACACACACTCCCAGACACCCCCCAACACACACTCCCAGACTCCCCCACACACACATCCCCCCCCAACACACACGCCAGACTCCCCCAACACACACTCCCAGACTCCCCCAACACACACTCCCAGACCCCCCAACACACACTCCCAGACTCCCCCAACACACACACTCCCACACACCCCCCACACACACACTCCCAGACACCCCCCAACACACACTCCAACCCGACACCCCCCCCAACACACACTCCCAGACACCCCCCCCCAACACCCACACCTCCCAGACACCCCCCAACACACACTCCCAGACTCCCCCCCCAACACACACTCCAGACTCCCCCCAACACCACACTCCCAGACTCCCCCCACACCCCAACCCCACTCCAACCCACCCCCCAACACACACTCCCCCAACCTCCCCCCACCACACACTCCCAGACATCCCCCCACACCACACTCCCAGACTCCCCCCAACACACACTCCCAGACTCCCCCCCAACACACACTCCCAGACTCCCCCCAACACACACTCCCAGACTCCCCCCAACACACACTCCCAGACTAGTCCTTCAGTACTCGTGATTGGAATAATGAGAGCCAGAGAAAGACAGCATAGTTAGTCTTCTCCCTCTAGCTCCTCCCCCTCTCTCTCATCTCTCTCCAGTAGAGTTACAGTGTCTTCTCTGTTCAGTGTGATTATATATATATATATATATATTTGAACCTTTATTTAAATAAGCAAGTCAGTTAAGAACTAATTCTTATTTACAATGACGGCCTACCAAAAGGCAAAAGGCCTCCTGCGGGGACGGGGGCTGGGATAGAAAATAACAATATAGGAGAAAACACATCACGACAAGAGAGACACGACAACACTACATAAAGAGAGACCTAAGACAACAACACAGCATGGCAGCAACACATCACAACAAGAGACACCACAACACTACATAAAGAGAGACCTAAGACAACAACACAGCATGGCAGCAACACATCACGACAAGAGAGACACCACAACACTACATAAAGAGAGACCTAAGACAACATCACAGCATGGCAGCAACACATCACGACAAGAGAGACACCACAACACTACATAAAGAGAGACCTAAGACAACAACACAGCATGGCAGCAACACATCACGACAAGAGAGACACCACAACACTACATAAAGAGAGACCTAAGACAACAACATAGCATGGCAGCAACACATCACGACAAGAGACACACCACAACACTACATAAAGAGAGACCTAAGACAACAACACAGCATGGCAGCAACACATCACGACAAGAGAGACACCACAACACTACATAAAGAGAGACCTAAGACAACAACACAGCATGGCAGCAACACATTACGACAAGAGAGACACCACAACACTACATAAAGAGAGACCTAAGACAACAACACAGCATGGCAGCAACACATCACGACAAGAGAGACACCAAAACACTACATAAAGAGAGACCTAAGACAACAACACAGCATGGCAGCAACACATCACGACAAGAGAGACACCACAACACTACATAAAGAGAGACCTAAGACAACAACACAGCATGGCAGCAACACATCACGACAAGAGAGACACCACAACACTACATAATGAGAGACCTAAGACAACAATATAGCATGGCAGCAACACATGACGACACAGCATGGTAGCAACACAACATGGTAGCAGCACAACATGGTAGCAGTACAAAACACGGTACAACATTGTTAGGCACAGACAACAGCACAAAGGGCAAGAAGGTACAGACAACAATACATCATGGGAAGCAGCCACAACTGTCAGTAAGAGTGTCCATGAATGAGTCTTTGAATGAAGAGATGGAGATAAAACTGTCCAGTTTGAGTGTTTTTTTTGCAGCTCGTTCCAGTCACTAGCTGCAGCGAACTGAAAAGAGGAGCGACCCAGGGATGTGTGTGCTTTGGGGACCTTTAACAGAATGTGACTGGCAGAACGGGTGTTGTATGTGGAGGATGAGGGCTGCAGTAGGTATCTCAGATAGGGGGGAGTGAGGCCTAAGAGGGTTTTGTAAATAAGCATCAACCAGTGGGTCTTGCGACGGGTATACAGAGATGACCAGTTTACAGAGGAGTATAGAGTGCAGTGATGTGTCCTATAAGGAGCATTGGTCGCAAATCTGATGGCCGAATGGTAAAGAACATCTTGCCGCTCGAGAGCACCCTTACCTGCCGATCTATAAATTACATCTCCGTAATCTAGCTTGGGTAGGATGGTCATCTGAATCAGGGTTAGTTTGGCAGCTGGCTAGGCTTGGACAGTATCCACATTTTCATATTGTCATACCATCCTCCTATCATCCCGGGATTGAGGGTATTACCGGCAGAGCACACAAGGGGGCGCTAAGAACGTAAGAAAAGCCCATTGGGCCTCTATTACCAGAATGCTAACAAATTTAGCACAAACTAATAACGAAATCACATGGACGCTGTTAGCTAAACGTACATAAACTAATTGCAAAGACAGACAAATCCAGCTCATAAAGTTATACAAGCATAGCTAGTAGCTACCGAATGTCATTTTCGGTGAAGGTGGACATTTACAAGTGAAAGTGAACAAGAGAAATTGTGCAAATGAACAAAGTTGTGATGCTTTTCTGAAGGAAGAGTAGCATGTGTACACGGAGCAGAAGGGAGAAGAACAGAGGAGGAAAACAACACTAGTAGGAAGCACTGGGACAAAATGGCCGCTGTACAGAGAAGTCAAAGAGCTCTGGATGACTTCTGGCAGAAAGCCATTATAAGATATCTGATGGCAAACATTTAGTAGTGAATTGCATACAAGTGGTGACTTCATCACCTCATGTGCGCCGTACAACAGAGACTCACCGATCGATATAGAACGCTATGGACTCACCAGTCTCCCGTTGTGGGTCAACTGTTCTGGGGATCTACGGTAAGCTTCATAATGTAAAATAACGTAACAGGTGAAATGAAGAACGCCAATCAGTTTTATCTCCTAACGTACTGTACAAGTTGACTGCAGGTATTCACTTAAAAAGTAGCGACAAATATTCACATTTATATATATATATATATATATATATAGTTTTGAAGGTATTGAAAGTTTACTGCTCCAGCTACTTTAACACACTCCCACTATTAGGGCTGTAATGTGTTGAGGTGGATGAGATGAGACCTACCGTCTCTGTTGGTGTCCATCTGTCTGAAGATCTTCTCTGTTCTCTTCTCTGGAGTAGACTCATCCTCTGGCATCTTCATCACAGATGACACCATCTTATAGATCGCCTGGAGAATAAACACACAGACACCATCTTATAGATCTCCTGGAGAATAAACACACAGACACCATCTTATAGATCTCCTGGAGAATAAACACACAGACACCATCTTATAGATCTCCTGGAGAATAAACACACAGACACCATCTTATAGATCTCCTGGAGAATAAACACACAGACACCATCTTATAGATCTCCTGGAGAATAAACACACAGACACCATCTTATAGATCTCCTGGAGAATAAACACAGACACCATCTTATAGATCTCCTGGAGAACAAACACACAGACACCATCTTATACACTGAACAAATATATAAACGCAACATGTAAAGTGATTAATGAGCTGAAATAAAAGGTCCCAGAAATTGTCCATACGCACAAAAAGCTTATTTCTCTCAAATGTTGTGCACAAATTTGTTTACATCCCTGTTAGTGAGCATTTCTCCTTTGCCAAAATAATCCATCTACCTGACAGGTGTGGCATATCAAAAGCTGACTAAACAGCATGATCATTACACAGGTGCACCTTGTGCTGGGGACAATAAAAGGCCACTCTAAAATGTGCAGTGTTGTGTGACAAAACAATGCCACATATGTCTTAAATTGAGGGAGCACGCAATTGGCATGCTGACTACAAGAATGTCCACCAGAGCTGTTGCCAGAGAATTTAACGTTAATTTCTCTACCATAAGCTGCCTCCAACGTCATTTTAGAGAATTTGGCAGTACGTCCAACCGGCCTCACAACCGCAGACCACGTGTAACAACGCCAGCCCAGGACCTCCACATCCAGCTTCTTCACCTGCGGATCGTCTGAGACCAGCCACCCGGACAGCAGATGAAACAGTGGGTTTGCACAACTGAAGAATTTCTGCACAAACTGTCAGAAACCATCTCAGGGAAGCTCATCTGCGTGCTCGTCGTCCTCACCAGGGTCTTGACCTGACTGCAGTTTGGTGTCGTAACTGACTTCAGTGGACAAATGCTCACCTTCGATGGCCACTGGCACGCTGGAGAAGTGTGCTCTTCACAGATGAATCCCGGTTTCAACTGTACCGGGCAGTATGGCGTTGTGTGGGCGAGCGGTTTGCTGATGTCAACAGTGTGAACATTGTGCCCCATGGTGGTGGTGGTGGGGTTTTGGTATGGGCAGGCATAAACTACAGACAATATACACAATTGCATTTTATCGATGGCAATTTGAAAGCACAGAGATACCGTGACGAGATCCTGAGGCCCATTGTCGTGCCATTCATTCGCCGCCATCACCTCATGTTTCAGCATGATAATGCACAGCCCCATATTGCAAGGATCTGTACACAATTCCTGGAAGCTGAAAATGTCCAGGTTCTTTCATGGCCTGCATACTCACCAGACATGTCACCCATTGAGCATGTTTGGGATGCTCTGGATCAACGTGTACGACAGCGTGCTCCAGTTCCCGCCAATATCCAGCAACTTCGCACAGCCATTGAAGAGGAGTGGGACAACATTCCACAGGCTACAATCAACAGCCTGATCAACTCTATGCGAAGGAGATGTCGCACTGCATGAGGCAAATTGTGATTACACCAGATACTGACTGGTTTTCTGATCCATGCCCCTACCTTTAAAAAAAAAGGTATCTGTGACCAACAGATGCATCTCTGTATTCCCAGTCATGTGAAATCCATAGATTAGGACTGTAACTCAGTAAAATCTTTTAAATTGTTGCATGTTGCGTTTATATTTTTGTTCAGTATAGATATCTACAAATAACAAATGAAGCTCTCGCTAAATGTTCCATGACGATAAAATGAAATGTCACAAGATATCTTCACTTTGCAACACAACGTGGACTGGCCGGTTCTGTTGGAGGAATATGCAACGGCCTGCCAGGGACAATTACATTGTCAAGAAATACTTGAATCCCTAGTAAAGTATTTTTTCTCCAAGTGTTTCTCTACTAGATAGATGGCCATAGCAAAGTCTTTAGAGTAAATGTCCTGTTGATACAGAGGGACTGTCTGCCAGCGGGCTGGGAGCTAGGACTGCTATGTCTTATGTATAAAGACAGTGTTGCTGAGTAAATGTCCTGTTGATACAGAGGGACTGTCTGCCAGTGGGCTGGGAGCTAGGACTGCTATGTCTTATGGATAAAGACAGTGTTGCTGAGTAAATGTCCTGTTGATACAGAGGGACTGTCTGCCAGTGGGCTGGGAGCCAGGACTGCTATGTCTTATGGATAAAGACAGTGTTGCTGAGTAAATGTCCTGTTGATACAGAGGGACTGTCTGCCAGCGGGCTGGGAGCTAGGACTGCTACAGTGGGGGAAAAAAGTATTTAGTCAGCCACCAATTGTGCAAGTTGTCCCACTTAAAAAGATGAGAGAGGCCTGTAATTTTCATCATAGGTACACGTCAACTATGACAGACAAAATGAGGGAAAAAAATCCTGAAAATCACATTGTAGGATTTTTAATGAATTTATTTGCAAATTATGGTGGAAAATAAGTATTTGGTCAATAACAAAAGTTTCTCAATACTTTGTTATATACCCTTTGTTGGCAATGACACAGGTCAAATGTTTTCTGTAAGTCTTCACAAGGTTTTCACACACTGTTGCTGGTATTTTGGCCCATTCCTCCATGCAGATCTCCTCTAGAGCAATGTTGTTTTGGGGCTGTCGCTGGGCAACACGGACTTTCAACTCCCTCCAAAGATTTTCTATGGGGTTGAGATCTGGAGACTGGCTAGGCCACTCCAGGACCTTGAAATGCTTCTTACGAAGCCACTCCTTCATTACCCGGGCGGTGTGTTTGGAATCATTGTCATGCTGAAAGACCCAGCATCGTTTCATCTTCAATGCCCTTGCTGATGGAAGGAGGTTTTCACTCAAAATCTCATGATACATGGCTCCATTCATTCTTTCCTTTACACGGATCAGTCGTCCTGGTCCCTTTGCAGAAAATCAGCCCCAAAGCATGATATTTCCACCCCCATGCTTCACAGTAGGTATGGTGTTCTTTGGATGCAACTCAGCATTCTTTGTCCTCCAAACACGACGAGTTGAGTTTTTACCAAAAAGTTATATTTTGGTTTCATCTGACCATATGACATTCTCCCAATCCTCTTCTGGATCATCCAAATGCACTCTAGCAAACTTCAGACGGGCCTGGACATGTACTGGCTTAACATTACATTTTAGTCATTTAGCAGACGCTCTTAACCAGAGCGACTTACAGGAGCAATTAGGGTTAAGTGCCTTGCTCAAGGGCACATTAACGTCATTTAGCAGACGCTCTTAGCCAGAGCGACTCACAAATTGGTGCGTTCACCCTATAGCCAGTGGGATAACCACTTTACAATTTGGGGGGGGGTTAGAAGGAATACTTTAGCCTATCCCAGGTATTCCTTAAAGAGGTGGGGTTTCAAATGTCTCCGGAAGGTGGTGAGTGACTCCGCTGTCCTGGCGTCGTGAGGGAGCTTGTTCCACCATTGGGGTGCCAGAGCAGCGAACAGTTTTGACTGGGCTGAGCGGGAGCTGTGCTTCCGCAGAGGAAGGGGAGCCAGCAGGCCAGAGGTGGATGAACGCAATGTCCTCGTTTGGGTGTAGGGACTGATCAGAGCCTGAAGGTACAGGGGTGCCGTTCCCCTCACTGCTCCAAAGGCAAGCACCATGGTCTTGTAGCGGATGCGAGCTTCAATTGGAAGCCAGTGGAGTGTGCGGAGGAGGGGGGTGACGTGAGAGAACTTGGGAAGGTTGAACACCAGACGGGCTGCGGCATTCTGGATGAGTTGTAGGGGTTTAATGGCACAGGCAGGGAGCCCAGCCAACAGCGAGTTGCAGTAGTCCAGACGGGAGATGACAAGTGCCTGGACCAGGACCTGCGCCGCTTCCTGTGTAAGGCAGGGTCGCACTCTCCGAATGTTGTAGAGCATGAACCTGCAGGAGCGGGTCACCGCCTTGATGTTGGCGGAGAACGACAGGGTGTTGTCCAGGGTCACGCCTAGGCTCTTCGCACTCTGGGAGGAGGACACAGCGGAGTTGTCTACCGTGATGGCGAGATCATGGAACGGGCAGTCCTTCCCCGGGAGGAAGAGCAGCTCCGTCTTGCCAGGGTTCAGCTTGAGGTGGTGATCCGTCATCCATACTGATATGTCTGCCAGACATGCAGAGATGCGAGGGGGGACACGTCTTGCACTGCAGGATTTGAGTCCCTGGCAGCGTAGTGTGTTACTGACGGTAGGCTTTGTTACTTTGGTCCCAGCTCTCTGCAGGTCATTCACTAGGTCCCCCCGTGTGGTTCTTGTGATCATTTTGACCCCACGGGGTGAGATCTTGCGTGGAGCCCCAGATCGAGGGAGATTATCAGTCGTCTTGTATGTCTTCCATTTCCTAATAATTGCTCCCACAGTTGATTTCTTCAAACCAAGCTGCTTACCTATTGCAGATTCAGTCTTCCCAGCCTGGTGCAGGTCTACAATTTTGTTTCTGGTGTCCTTTGACAGCTCTTTGGTCTTGGCCATAGTGGAGTTTGGAGTGTGACTGTTTGAGGTTGTGGACAGGTGTCTTTTATACTGATAACAAGTTCAAACAGGTGCCATTAATACAGGTAACGAGTGGAGGACAGAGGAGCCTCTTAAAGAAGAAGTTACAGGTCTGTGAGAGCCAGAAATCTTGCTTGTTTGTAGGTGACCAAATACTTATTTTCCACCACCATTTGCAAATAAATTCATAAAAAATCCTACAATGTGATTTTCTGGATTTTTTTTTCTCAATTTCTCTGTCATAGTTGACGTGTACCTATGATGAAAATTACAGGCCTCTCTCATATTTTTAAGTGGGAGAACTTGCACAATTGGTGGCTGACTAAATACTTTTTTCCCCCACTGTATGTCTTATGGATAAAGACAGTGTTGCTGAGTAAATGTCCTGTTGATACAGAGGGACTGTCTGCCAGCGGGCTGGGAGCTAGGACTGCTATGTCTTATGGATAAAGACAGTGTTCATGAGTAAATGTCCTGTTGATACAGAGGGACTGTCTGCCAGCGGGCTGGGAGCTAGGACTGCTATGTCTTATGGATAAAGACAGTGTTGCTGAGTAAATGTCCTGTTGATACAGAGGGACTGTCTGCCAGCGGGCCGGGAGCTAGGACTGCTATGTCTTATGGATAAAGACAGTGTTGCATCACTGATCTGGCCACTTTCTGTCTGGGGGCGTGTCTGCACATTTTTACGAGGAATTAACATGAGTATATATTGCAATAGACACTGGAATGTGTAGACAGTCTAAGAATTATACGTGTAGTTTGTACGGGAGTGAAATCCAACAGTAGGATTGTTGCTGATCAACAAATAAATCAGTCAACATGAACCACGCTACAGAAGACAACCAGTTGACTATACACTACTGAAGGTCAATCCTCGCCTGTACGATCTCCAGCATGTCAGACTTGCTGATGTATCCGTTCCCGTCCAGGTCGTACATACTGGGCCTACAAATAACTCACACCAGAACTACAAATCCCACCTCTCTGTTCCTGTCTCACCTGTACGATCTCCAGCATCTCAGACTTGCTGATGTATCCGTTCCCGTCCAGGTCGTACATGCTGAAGGCCCACTTCAGTTTCTGCTCCAGCTTGCCCCGTGACGTGACGCTCAGAGCGATGATGAACTCCCGGAAGTCTATCGTCCCGTCCCCGTTGGCGTCGAAGGTGCGGAAGACGTGCTCGGCGAACTTGGAGGCGTCTCCGTAGGGGAAGAAGTTACCGTAGATCTTCTTGAACTCCTCCATGGAGAGGTTCCCGCTGGGGCAGTCCCTCAGGAAGCCCTTGTACCACTCCTGGATCTCATGCTCTGTGAAGTCCGTGCTCTCCAGCAGGTCCTGCATCACCTCTGGGCGGAGTTTGCTGTTCTGCTTCCCCATGGCTGGTGGTTACTATGGTAACAACTGGAAGAGAGCGAAGAAACAGAAACTGAGAATAATTGGAGAAAGGAGAGGAGAGGAGAGAGAGGAAGAGAGAAGGAGGAGAGAGGAGAGAGAAGAAAGAGGAGAGGAGGAGAGAGGAAGAGAGAGGAAAGAGGGAGAGGAGGAGAGGGAAGAGAGAGGAGAGGAGAGGAAGAGAGAGGAGAGAGGAAAGAGGAGAGGAGGAGAGAGGAGAGGAGAGAAGAGGAAGAGGAGGAGAGGAGAGGAAGAGAGAGGAGAGGGAGGGAGAGGAGAGGAGAGGGAGAGAGAAGGAGAGGAGAGGAGAGAGAGAGGAGAGAGAGAGAGGAGAGAGGAAAGAGGAAGCAGGAGGAGAGAGGAGAGAGGAAGAGAGAGGAGAGGAGAGGAAGAGAGAGGAGAGGAGAGGAAGAGAGAGAGAGAGGAGAGGAGAGGTAGAGAGAGGAGAGGAGAGGAAGAGAGAGGAGAGGAGAGGAGAGGAAGAGAGAGGAGAGGAGAAGAGAGAGGAGAAGAGAGGAGGAGAGAGAAAGGAAGAGAGGAGAGGAGAGAGGGAGAGGAGGAGAGAGAGGAGAGGGGGATAGGAAGAGAGAGAGGAGAGGAGGAGGAGAGAGAGAGAGAGGAAAGGAGGAGGAGAGGAAAGGAGGAGAGGAAGAGAGGAGGAGAGGAAGAGAGGAAGAGAGGAAGGAGAGGAGGAGAGGAGGAGAGGAGGAGATGAGAGGAGGAGAGGAAGAGAGGAGGAGAGGAAGAGAGGAAGAGAGGAAGAGAGGAGGAGAGGAGGAGAGGAGGAGAGAAAGAGAGGAGGAGAGAGGAAAGGAAGAGAGAGGAGAGGAGAGAGGAGAGGAAGAGAGGAGGAGAGGAGATGAGGAGGAGAGAGGAGAGGAAGATGTCTACTAGTATTGAATACATGATGATAACAGGTAACGTGAGAAGAAATGTTAGCTGTATGTTGATGGCTATACAGTGAAATTAGAGGTGCACATCACAGAAAGCTTCATTAAAGACTACTTAGTTGTCAGAGCAGCAAAGTAAGCAGACATAAGTTTTTCTCTACTGCTATGCAACCAACCGGATGTATCCTCCTAAGGTACCCTCATTGTGGAATGAGGGAGAAGTGTACTTCACTGTGCCCAGGAATGTTCACATGCTCAATGTAACCAAACATATTCTTATGTCTGAAGTGACAGAACATTCCATGCAGCAGACAGACAGACAGACAGACACCCATATGTCCATCTACTGAACATACTGCTGTAGAAAACACTTGGAGACAGACACTACTGAATGTACTGCTGTAGAAAACACTTGGAGACAGACACTACTGAATGTACTGCTGTAGAAAACACTTGGAGACAGACACTACTGAATGTACTGCTGTAGAAAACACTTGGAGACAGACACTACTGAATGTACTGCTGTAGAAAACACTTGGAGACAGACACTACTGAATGTACTGCTGTAGAAAACACTTGGAGACAGACACTGCTGAACGCTAGCTTGTCTTGAGTACACACTGAGCGGACTGAAAAGGCGCTGCAATCATACTACAGAACTATAACAGTTGACTGAGCTTTGATTCACAGCCACCGCTAAAAGCTACCTGGCTCCTCCTCGTGATGAGACAGAGACGTAAATTCACAAATCCACAAGTCACCACTTCAGAGCAAGACACACTTCATAACTCTTTACAAACCCAACTTCACAAAGCTCATAAGTGATTTACCGATCAAGAGAAACAAGACGCACTTTAGTTTAGCTCCAAACCCAACTTCATCAAGTTCCTAAGTGATTTCCGTCTGGAGAAAGACACAGTGCAGCTCCTGAGAAGGGCTTGTAGAATGTCTACTACGTACCAGACAGAGTCGGCGGAGTAGAGGAGTACGTCCTCAGGAGATGTTCATCCTCCTCTCCGCGCCTGGAATGTCTGTCTCATATCAATGTCTCTGACATTTACTGCAACAGGAAGTGAGTTTCCCCTCTCTCTCAGTCTCCCTTTCTCTTTCTGCTAGGTCAGTTCTCTCTCTCTCTGCTAGGTCAGGTCTCTCTCTTTCTGCTAGGTCAGGTCTCTCTCTTTCTGCTAGGTCAGGTCTCTCTCTTTCTGCTAGGTCAGTTCTCTCTCTTTCTGCTAGGTCAGGTCTCTCTCTTTCTGCTAGGTCAGGTCTCTCTCTTTCTGCGAGGTCAGGTCTCTCTCTTTCTGCGAGGTCAGGTCTCTCTCTTTCTGCGAGGTCAGGTCTCTCTCTTTCTGCGAGGTCAGGTCTCTCTCTTTCTGCGAGGTCAGGTCTCTCTCTTTCTGCGAGGTCAGGTCTCTCTCTTTCTGCGAGGTCAGGTCTCTCTCTTTCTGTGAGGTCAGGTCTCTCTCTCTCTGCGAGGTACCTCTCTCTCTGCTAGGTCAGGTCTCTCTGCTAGGTCAGGCCTCTCTCTGCTAGGTCAGGTCTCTCTCTGCTAGGTCAGGTCTCTCTGCTAGGTCAGATCTCTCTCTGCTAAGTCAGATCTGTCTCTGCGAGGTCATCTGTCTCTCTGCGAGGTCATCTGTCTCTCTGCGAGGTCAGATCTCTCTCTGCGAGGTCAGATCTCTCTCTGCGAGGTCAGATCTCTCTCTGCGAGGTCAGATCTCTCTCTGCGAGGTCATCTCTCTCTCTGCTAGGTCATCTTTCTCTCTGCTAGGTCAGGTCTCTCTCTGCTAGGTCAGATCTCTCTCTGCTAGGTCAGATCTCTCTCTGCTAGGTCAGATCTCTCTCTGCTAGGTCAGATCTCTCTCTGCTAGGTCAGATCTCTCTCTGCTAGGTCAGATCTCTCTCTGCGAGGTCAGATCTCTCTCTGCGAGGTCAGATCTCTCTCTGCGAGGTCAGATCTCTCTCTGCGAGGTCAGATCTCCCTCTGCGAGGTCAGATCTCTCTCTCTGCGAGGTCATCTCTCTCTCTGCTAGGTCAGATCTCTCTCTCTGCTAGGTCAGATCTCTCTCTCTACTAGGAGAAAGGAGTCAACAACTAAAGGATCTGACTGTTTAAAAGGAGAAAGGAGTCAACAACTAAAGGATCTGATTGTTTAAAAGGAGAAAGGAGTCAACATCTAAAGGATCTGACTGTTTAAAAGGATAAAGGAGTCAATAACTAAAGGATCTGACTCAGCGTTTAAAAGGAGCCACATCTGAGAGCAAACACACTTCACTCACTCCAACATGACTTCAGCCTACTGTCTAACAACATGTATGGTTTGACACCTCTCCTAGAAGAGCTCTGTTTGATTAGCCTGCTACAGGTTTTATTTTCAGCCGTGTCTTTAAATGGCCTGCGCCTTCATTACGTTGCCATGGCAACAGACCCAGCACACAACCAGCCGTTATTGATACAGAAGAAGCAGAACAATACATCAATGATTAGAAATCAAGCAGACATCTTCCTCAATTCATCCTCAAAGTAAACTAAACTCACAACATTGTTATGGGATTACAGCCAGATTAGACCACAAGGTATTTGTTGACCAAAGTAGCTATTTCTAGAGAGTAAAGCGTAGGTTCTGTACCAGACCTGGGTCAAATACACCTGTTACCACTTTTCAAATACATGAGGTGCACTTGATTTAGGCCCACTCACATGCAGGGTGGGCAGAATCTGCACCTTATGGGACTGTTCCATTGGTTCTATTGTACCAGGCATATTCAATCAATCAATGTACTGGTCACAGCAGTGGCTGCGTCATATCCGAGGAGTCAGTGTGCTTTACAATGTGTCGGTCTCCTTGTGGGGTTCCTCTTCCCTAAGTCCATGAGCAGGTAATTGGCAGGAAGGGGGGGATGTCTAGCCCTCAGGGCCCAGCAGAGAGAGGAGAGGAGGATTACAGCAGGATAGCATGTCTGTCTGTCATTACCTGCTTCAGTCTGCTCACTGTGGATCATCAACTTGACAACAAGCCATGTTGTCTTGAGGTCAAACCAGGTCTGGCTCAGACAATCACAGAAAACAAGTCCTTCAGCAGGGTGGCTGTTAACCAATCATTATGGAACAGCTGTTCAGCCAAGATGAATGTTATCTGGCGTGCTCAACTCCTAAAGACAATACAGATCAACACATCTGAGTGCTGTAGTTCAGGACTGACAGACAGGCAGCCCTCTCTAACTCATCAGTTGAGGGTGTTGCAGGTAACCCAGGACAGACAGATACACACTACCAGTCAAAAGTTTGGACACACCTACTCATTCAAGGGTTTTTCTTTATTTTGAGTATTTTCTACATTGTAGAAGAATAGTGAAGACATCAAAACTATGAAATAACACATATGGAATCATGTCGTAACCAAAAAAGTGTTAAACAAATCAAATATATATTTCAAATGTGAGATTCTTCAAATAGCCACCTTTTAACTTGATGACAGCTTTGACACTCTTGGCATTCTCTCAACCAGCTTCATGTGGTAGTCACCTGGAATGCATTTCAATTAACAGGTGTGCCTTCTTAAAACGTAATTTGTGGAATTTCTTTCCTTCTTAATGCGTTTGAGCCAATCAGTTGTGTTGTGACAAGGTGGGGGGGGGGGGGGGGGGGGGGGGGGTATACAGAAGATGGTATTTTACCAAATAGGGCTAAGTTCATATTACGGCAAGAGCAGCTCAAATAAGCAAAGAGAAACGACAGTCCATCATTACTTTAAGACATGGAGGTCAGTCAATACGGAACATTTCAAGAACTTTGAAAGTTTCTTCAACTGCAGTGGCAAAAACCATCAAGCGCTATGATGAAACTGACTCATGAGGACCGAAACAGGAATGGAAGACCCAGAGTTACCTCTGCTGCAGAGGATAAGTTCATTAGAGTTACCAGCCTCAGAAATTGCAGCCCAAATAAATGCTTCACAGAGTTCAAGTAACAGACACATCTCAACATCAACTGTTCAGAGGAGACTGTGTGAATCAGGCCTTCATGGTCGAATTTCTGCAAAGAAACCACTACTAAAGGACACCAATAATAAGAAGAGACCTGCTTGGGCCAAGA